AAGAAGAGTTCCAGACCCTGGGTACCAAAATATTACAGACGCACAGGAAATGACTTTTCAAATCCAGGCTGTAAACCTGTCATTTCGTGGGCCTGTCTGTGAGCTTAGAAAAGTGAGGCAAAGATCACACTGAAGACATTCCTACATTTGGGGAAGGCTGTACTGGAGGCCCCTGGAGGCCTTCCCACCTCCAGGTGCTATGAGTCTAAACTCAAGGCATAATTTGAAATGTTAGAGGAAAGCCAATGAAATTTGAGGCAAAATTTGTGCCTTGACAGTGTCTCGCTTTGCTTAAAAAAAATGAAGACTTCGAAAAACAAGTGAAAAGCTAAAAAATATGTTTGGAGGAGAGGGGTATGTTCTCAGACCTATTACTATATTTTAAGGCTTTCAATTAAAGATACTCCAAATATGTAATAAATAAGCTACCAAGTCCTTGAAATATGCATTAATCTTCCTAAAACATTTATGTATTGACTTTACATTAATCTATTCCATCTGAAAGACGTTTCTGGTGTATTAAACCAATGCTGTTCCTTTGGTTAGTGAAATGGTTTTGGATTCATTAATTCTTCAAATATTTATATTCTGAGTGCCTTCTAGGGGTATCATATTCTTTCAAACACACACAAATAAACAATCCAATCTATTGGTTAATTCAGGCATTCCTCTCCCCTCCTACGCAGGAAGTGCACTAGTCCTGGAGCCAGACTGCCTGCGTTTTCCAGCTTGAACCCCTTGAGCAAATTATTATATTTAGCCTCCCTATACCTCAGTTTTGTTCCCTGAAAAGTAGGGTTAGTAATAGTGCCTACCTCATCAAATTAAATGAGTTAATGCATGTAAAGCACCTGGAAAAATGCCTGGCACATAGCAAGTATTCAATAAATGTTGGCTATTCATTTAGTACCAAGCATGGGGAGGAGCGATGTAGAGGTGCAGATACAGAGAGAAATAAAACAAGGTGCACTAAAGAGGGAATATCTGAACTGATTCTTGGAGAAAAGAGGGAATTCACTAGGTAGACGGAGAAGGGCCAAGTCAAGCAACTGGAAGCGAAGGCACAGAACTATGAAACTAAGTAGCGTATCTGGGGAGTTGTAAATGATTCATTAGAGCTGGATTAAGAGGTGTGTGAGAATGAGGGGGCAGAAACCACAGCATTTACTGACAAAACCTATGTGATGGGAAGTGAGGCAGAGGGCAGATTCCTGGGTTTATGGTGATGCCATTGACCAGAAATGCAATGTAGGAGATGGTGTGGCTTTTGACACAATGTGTTTGGTTTTGGACATACAGTATGGGAGGGGCTTTAAGACCCAAGTGGAGTTGTAAAATGGGATACACAAATCAAGGGCTTTACAAGAACACTCTGGCAAGCAGTACTGTGCAGGGAACCAGCAGAGTGTCACTGATGGTGGTTGCCATGAACTTGGCTGAAATCTTTGATGACCAGTGTGGAGAATGAGAATAACAATGTAGGCTAGACTGGGGCATTCGAAGGGCAGTTGGAGAAGAAGGAACCAGAGAAAATACGAAAGAGAACCAGAATAGCATGGAGCCCTGGAAGAAACCAAAGGAGTATATGAGTTTTACATCAGATAGGATGGTTTGGCTGAAAATGACAGAAAACCTAACTCAAACTAATTTAAATTGTCAAGACGACTTACTGGCCCATAAAACTGCAAACACAAGCCTCTGGACAGGGTGGATAGCAGTATACTAAGACAAATCAGGATCACCCCTAAGCTGAGGATGAGGAATTTAGCTTATCTGCAACATTTAGCAGTTCTATTGAATGCCTACTACGTGCTAGCATTGTTCTAGTCAATGAATGAAACAGGCAAAAAGTCCCTCCTCTGTGGACAAGTACATACAAGTGCTTCTTGGTATCTCCCCACCCTGCCTCCTTTCACTAAAATGCTATGTGGAGGGACATAAAGACAGAAAACTTTAGGATTTTATGAAAACTCCAGATCATTTGCTGGGAATTTTACACTTTTTTGTAGGAATGTCTAGAACTTCTGTACTATTATCAAATAGGGCGGTGAGGTAGGAAAGCAGTGCAGTATGGATACCAAACTCTAAAATCCCAAATACCACCAGTGGTATATTTTAAAGTCCAGTGGTGGATTTAAATTAGTCAAAAGTTTTTGACTTAAGTTGAGATGCTGAGTTCATTAGATCATACATCTATCAAATATCTCTGGTGGGGCTTTGTATGTAACTTAATTGTATGACACGTTTTATAAGTAGATTATGTCCAAACCTGCATTAGTCCATCTGTTTTAATTAAAAAATACATAGTTTGCAATAAACGAAACCTCACACTCAGCCATTATAGCTTACTAAGCACTACCAGTTTCTCATATCCTCTCTCTCTGAAGCTAACTCACTATGCATCCACAGGGACATTGCTTCACCTCGCTGGGCCTATTTTCCATTCTCTAATTTGAAAATGATAAAACCTACCTCAATAGGGCTTTAGAAAATAAAATACTACTATGATTGAATTTTGTTAACTCAAAAGCACTATGCAGTATTAAGGGCTAAGATCAGAAGAAAGCTGCAAGTTTGAAAAAAAAAGTCCAGATTATAGTGTTTTAATGGCTAAAAAGCAGTGTCAAATTTCTCAGTCATGTTTTTTGATTCTAGTTAGAACATTTTTCATAAAACTCTATAAAGCTATTTACACTTTAAATTTATTTATTTTATTATTTTTACAATTAGAGACAGGGTCTCCCTCTGTTGCCCAGACTGGAGTGCAGTGGTGGGGGTCATAGCCCATTGCAGCCTTGAACTGCTCAGTTCAATCAAGCCTCCCACCTCAGCCTCCCGAGTAGATGAGACTACAGATGCAGTCTATTTTTTTTAGAGATGGGGTCTCACTATGTTGCTCAGGCTGGTCTCGAATTCCTGGCCTCAAGCAATCCTCCCACCTAGGCTTCCCACAGTGCTGGGATTACAGGTGTGAACTACTGCACCCGGCCTATACTTTGAATTTTAAAACATGGCCCATGTATGCTTAGTTTTTTTCTCATACCCTGTACAAAACAAAGTCATTCATGCCTGATGTAGTTTAACTTTATTTAAGATGAGGAAACAATCAGAAACATCAAGTGATTTGATTCTCTGAAAAGGATACTTGGATAATTTTTCTCATTGACATGGATTTTTATAAAACTCTTCCCCACTGGGTTTTCACTAGCTGAACCACACTTTACCTCAGTACTCACATAGACACACTTGTACAAACATGTTCCCAGGACATCTCTGAAGGGGAAATAAATCCATTCTCTAATGTGGTGATAGATGTACAGTGGTATGAAAGTCCATTTTCCAAACAGGAATATTGCTGTGAAGGTGAAGCAATCCATAAACAAGTTCATTTCCCTTTCCATTTTTGAAAAGAAACCCAATGAGATACAAATGGCTGAGTTAGCCTGCTCCAAAATACTTAGCCTGCTCCTTCCTAAGTCCTCTCTTCCCCTTCACAAAATGAAAACTAGCCGTGACCTGTACTGGCATAGGTGAACATCTCCCAGCAGTTGCTTAATAATTCCACAGGCCTCGCCACTACCTGTTTGAAAAATTAAAACGCACACTCTTGCTCTAAAAGAGTGATATTTGCTTTCCCACTTCTGTTATTTTCTAACAGAAGTTAGAAAGGAGGCTCAAAGCACCACCAGGGATGAACTAGTGAGCTTTTGTTCTCTGCCATAAACTAATTGATCTACGTTGGGAGTTGAATCCATGAGTAAAAAGAGATTTAAAAGATTTTCAGACAGTGAGTGGCATGCTGGGCTTTCGTGTATGAGCTTTGCTTTTGTGCTAATTTTAAAACCTCATAGTATTTTAGTAACTTCTGAGATATGTGCTCCACCAATACATGGATCCAAACTATAGATTTCTCCAGAGCCTGGGAATCACCATCTCACCATTATAACTCAATTCATTTGTGTTTAGTTTGGTGTCACACTGGGGTTACGCTTTACCAGTTGATACCACTCCCTAGTATATATACTACAGATTTCCAAATTCTTCACATACAAAGACTTTAATTTAAAAATAACTTCTTGTTTTAGCAATTACTTCAATTTTGGAATTCATATATTTGCAAACCTAGAGGATGTGCAGCTATAGAATTGGTTTTTCTAAGTTCGAGATATACTGAAAGCCATCGTACTCTTATACACTTTCCTCATTCTACAAAACACCATGGCTGGCACAATCACTTTAATAATTTTACAAATTTTAATCTACTCATGTTCTTAAGTAAACAAATTTTATATAATTTTTCATATTTTATCTTCCACAAAGGGGGAAAAACAGACTGGAGATTTTTTTTTTTAAAGAACGTCTTCCTTATACACTCAATGTGCAATATCCTATAATTAACTATTGTCTCTTAAAGGCATAAGAATCATGGAAAGATTGAGGGAGTGTGTAACCTCTCCTTTTTATTCAAAATGCTACAAATAACTGCACTGCATTTTGGACTGTAGAACTTAAATTGAAGATTACATCTTCCCAACAACCTCTTATTCATTTTGCGGAGTATTACTATATGTAAAGCATTAAAATAGGACCTCGGTAGAGAAAATATGTAGAGTTGCCAGATTAATTATGTCCTGAATATTACATATACTAAACATTATTTATCTGAAATTCAAATTTAACTGGGATTCCATTTTTTTATTTGCTAAATCTGGCAACCCTTTGTAGAAGATCCTTATCTTCAGTGAACTATTATATTTAGTAGGGAAATCAATGAATAATCATAATATAAGGCATGTATGATAAGTGCAGTCATACAATCAGAAGAAAAAGGTCTCCACTATTATACAATAGAAGAGTACCTGGAAGAGATGATAATTGATGTAGCTCTTGAAAAATGACTAATTTTTAATTGACAGATGGGTGGTATAATGTGATGATTTTGGAGTTCAAGTGTCCTGAGTTAAATTCTAAATTAATCACTCACTAGCTGTGTAACACTGGACAAGTTACTCAAGTACTCTTTATTATAAAATGAGGATACTGATACCTACCTTACTAGGCTATTTGAGGATCAGAGATAACATATGCACAAAGCACCTGGAACATAGGAGGCACCCCTTAAATGGTAATACTTATTATCACAACTTAAAACATCACATGGCAAAGAGGGTACTTGTCCCAAATATTCAGATGTTAATATTATACAGTATTAGTAATATTGAATAAGTAATTTTATTTCCATGATCTATTTACACTGTACAAACACTGTTGAAAAGCACCCTACAAGTTCACAGTACATTACAATATATTTACGTTAAAAATATATTCCTTTATAAAAGGTTCATAGAACATTGGCATGTCAACATGTGACAAAATTCTCAAAGCATGTTACCAATTCTGTGATAGCAAGAATGTTTCCAAGTGTTGTCAATTTCACAATCACAAGTCACCATTTGAGTTTTAAATACATATAAGTTTTAAATAAAAAATGAATTCTACAGTGGAAAGTTCTTGAGGCAATAGCTATTAGATTTCATTAACATATGTATTTTCATGGAAATGTTGTGTCATAATAATCCAGAATATCAACTTAATTTGCCCAAAGAAATATTTCAATAGGTTTAGCAGTCCAGAAATTCTGGTCATTTGTTGTTTTCTACTTTTTCTTCTTTGCTGGTTCTCCTGGTTCTACTTTGCGCTTTTTAGAAGCATGCTCATCTTTTTCATCATCTTTAAATAGGAAAGGAAGAGTTTCAATCAGTAATTTTTAAAAAAACAACATGTTAAGCATTAAAATTTCATTGGCTTTAGACCAAAATCATCATCCTCATCAACTAATGTTTCTTCCAAAGTTTCCCAATAAAAACCAAAAATTAACTTTTAAAACTCTGACTTTAAACTACACGTAAATGTAAGCAATTTTTTTCAATTGCAGCAATACAAAATTCACAAAGTGACCCTTTAGTGCTATATTAAGGTAGCTTAAAATAAATGATTTTATTTCTGCAAAAATCAGATTTGTTCTGAAAAAGTTGTTCCCAAATATTCGACAGTATACACATTGTGTATATCCAAATGCAATCTACACTTGGTAAGAACGGAGTATTTTTTTTCACACAAAAATATCAGTCTAACCATGACAGCATGTAAGTGACTTTTCCTCAGCTGTCCTTTTCCTTTCAATCTGCTTTCTCTCCTCCAAAAACAACTTTCTGCTCTCCCTATCTTGTTCTCCACTCCTTCCAAATCCTTATATTTTGAGGTTAAAAAGCATTCTCAAGAAGGTTTCACTAAACCTCTATTTTCAATTTTGTCCTAGGAAGTTAGTTCTAATTTTCTCCCCATTCCTAGGAGAGTCAGAACATTCTAATGGCAACAGAAAAACACTTATACTCCCCGCTTCATCTTATGGAGCATTTGGATAGGGGAGGGAGGTTAGAGAAGAGCATTGCATTAAAACAATGTCCTTTACACCTTTCCAAAACGTTATTAGTGTTTGTAGCCACAGAAAATTTCCAACTCATAAAAATGCTGTCAAACCTGAAAAAGTGGACCTTTTTATTCTATTTAAAAAATCCAACTATATGGTTCAATAAAACAGAGTAGCACAGGCTAGTTGCTAATTCCCAGCTCCCTAAACAAATGTGTGGTATTAGTTTAAGAACTCCATATATAGTAAATAACATGTAAAAGATGTTATGATTTATAAAGTACAAATTTATTTTGAGCACATTACTGAATTGTAGCTTTTGACTTCATTTTCTTGATCAACAGACACTCCAAGTTCAACAGGTACCATGTGGTGATGGATAAAATATTTTGACGTTGAAAGGAGCTTTCGTATTAAAAAGTTTGGGAAACTGATGATATTAAATCATAAATTCTTTGAAGGAAATATATTTAAAATCTTAAGCTTTCAATTCCCTTCTCAGAATATCATATTTGTTAATGTGGAAAATTAATATTAGCAGGTGATACATCTTCATTCATCTTCCAACACACCATGGTGATGCTATCCATGCTTCATAGAGCACTGTGGATTTATGTTGGCAGTGTAGTAAAATACAATTCAGATCAATGCCTCATCCTAGGAATTTACAAGCCAAAGTTTTAATCTATAGTTTATCATGTAAACACACAAAAGTACTGGCTCTACAAACCAATCGATGATGGTAGACTGCTCAAAAAAGCTAAGGCCTTTGCATTTTAACTGGAGTTAATTATCATCAAACTTGTTTTTTGGATTATTTTCAGTAGTAATAACATAAAAATTAAAAGCACTAAGTCTACTACAAAATTTACTGTTCATTAAAATTCATTAAAAAGATGATTCTGAAACACTTCTGCTTTTAATCTGCCACTTTGACAAGTAAATTTACTGAATAACAACAAAACCACAAACTACTGAGGCTGAAAAAATAACTCCTATCAGTGATTTGAGCAGAAGTGCTAATGCCATCTAGTGTCATGAGAAGGCATTGTTCTAAAACTAATGCAGGAAAAAAAAAATCTGAAAATGTTCATTCATCAGCTTTACTGAGCTTTTTCACTGTGTCATATGTACAGATGTATTGGTGAGGAAACAATTTTTCTATTATGGAACTCTAATCGCTCAAGATAAATAAGTTTAACCTATTAATATAAACTAACTTTCTAAATTCTAAAAAAAAAGCAAAATAAAAAGCATCAGCTACATTAACTAGGTTTTTACAATTACATGTTGATAAAGCTAAAACTATTAATATCTCACTTATAAGCCTTACATATCTACATTTTATAACCACTAAACAAGGAGTGCTGACAAGTAGCAAGACCCAATGAGGAGTTCTGAGTTTTTCTTAGCTTTTCCTCTAAAGTAACTGGGAGAAGCTCCTAGCAAAAAAAAGGTCAAAGGACAGAAAACGGGAAGGCAAAATAGAAACAAGGTAACTTCATAATCTGAAATTTAGACAATTTAAGAGTGCAGGCAGGGCGCGGTGGCTCATGCCTGTAATCCTAGCACTCTGGGAGGCCGAGGCGGGCAGATTGTTTGAGCTCAGGAGTTTGAGACCAGCCTGAGCAAGAGTGAGACCCCGCCTCTACCAAAAAATGGAAAGAAATTAATTGGACAGCTAAAAATATATGTAGAAAAAATTAGCCAGGCATGGTGGCACGTGCCTGTGGTCCCAGCTACTCGGGAGGCTGAGACAGTAGGATTGTTTGAGCCCAGGAGTTTGAGGTTGCTGTGAGCTAGGCTGATGCCACGGCACTCACCCCAGGCAAGAGAGTGAGACTCTGTCTCAAAAAAAAAAAAAAAAAAAGAGTGCAGAGTTTCTTGTACATGATATTTTATGAATCAAAAAAAATAGAGGCTAAAAAATATCAGGAAAATTAATTTTACAGTGACTTTATGAACATGGTACATATGTTGGCCTTTTCCATATAGAGACAAAGATACGGCAGCACCAGCCTACAGAAACCTAGTTTGGATGTCAACTCCAGCATCCTTATTGCTATTCTCCCTACAGAAGGATAGTAATTTCTCAAACACTGTAGGTTGGAAAACATCAAGAGACCAAGCTCCAGTTTAATAAGGCATAATTTCCATTGAAAGGCCTGAATTTGAATCCTTATTCTGCCTCTTCTTAGTTGTGTGAATTTGGGCAAATTCTTTAATCTGGGATCATTTTCTTGTCTGTAAAATAGTAATAATGGATCATGTACCGCTCTGTATCAGGTAGCTAAGAGTAATAAATTATAAAACTTCTGTGAAAGTACCTATTCTAGAACTTGGCATTTTCTAGTTTTGTGACCTTGGAAAAGTCACCTCTTATCTCCACATTTCCCTATCTGGTTTCACAAGGTGTTGTAAGGATTAAAAATTATTTATGCAAAAGTATTTTTATTAACTACATAAAATACTATACAATGAGGTATTATAAATGCTCATTTCATTTAAGGTTTCCAAAGACATGCCAATTACCGAAGATGAGCCTTCAGAAGTGATTTCTAATACGTATTGGGAAATCGGCAAAAGAAATGAAAAAGCTAGGTAGAACTAAAACTAGAATAAGAACTCCTGTCAATTCTCCTTTTCCTTCAAACAAAATATAATTCTCTGCATGGCTGTAAAGGGGCCAAAGAAATTGAACTGTGGGAAGATCAGAAATCTGTTTAATAAAAATGGCACATTCTTTCTTAAAAATCATAGTCCAAAACATTTAGTTCAATACAACAATTATCCACTGAATACTTACAATGTGCAAGTAACTATGATACAAACATAAAGACCTGAATCCTGCTGTTTCAGGAACTCATTTTCATAATGGAGACAGACTTATAAAAAAGAAAATCACATACAGGTGGTAAGTGCAATCAACAGCATTAGCACATACAAGGTACAGACGAGGAAATAATTAGAGGTGATACCTGAGATTTTTTTTTTTCTTCTTTGAGTTGCATTGTGAAGGATGAGTGAGTTTACCAGCCAACAAGGGAAGAAAGAACACTTCAGACTAAGATGCAGTAGGAAACCATAAAATAGTATAGTCTATTCAGTTCTGGATTTCAAGATCTTAAAGTGCTAGAAAGGGGGCCATTCAAAATGAGAGTGGAAAGGAGGCAGGGCCTATCACCGAAGGCCCTGACTCCATCCTGTTGGTGAAGGGTTTTAAGAAGGCAAATTATATAATAGATATGACTGTTAGAAACTGAACACTGGCTGGGCATGGTGGCTCACACCTGTAATCCCAGCACTTTGGGAGGCTGAGGTGGGAAGACTGCTTGAGGCCGGGAGTTCAAGACCAGCTTGGGCAACATAACATGTTACTGTTCACTTCTTACTTGGTCTTACTAAGTCCAAGTAAGAAATAAAATTATTCATTTTGTCACACTTATTTGAGCTTTAAAGCACACCTGCTTTAATATAAGATGAAGCCTTCAGCACTTCGCAGCTGCAGTCACAAGAATCCATGAATTAATGTTGTTCTAATAATAAGGCACCATAAATCACAGAGACTACTGATTGAGATATCAGAGATTTCACTTTAAAGCCTGAATAATTTATGATCTTCCACTAAAACACAGCAAATACTACCGGCTGAAGAGATCAGAGGCTTCACTTTAAAACCAGTACGTATGATCTTTCTCAAAAACAGAGCAAAAAGTACCAACGACCATCGTAAGTTTGCCAATTCACTAGATTTAAATGTTGTTCATTAAATATCTCATTCTTCTTAAGCCCATCACAGGGACCAGAAGATATTAATTACTACTAGATTTTGACCTTCTTACCTGATTCCAATGTCTCCTCCCCTTCCGGTAGAAGCCTAGCTTTCTTAGCATTCTGTGGGGCATCATCACCATTGTCCTCATATATGTTAGACCATTTTATAGCCATATCCAGCTCTGGAGGCGGAGGTTTCTTTTCAGTAGTGTAGGTCTCAGGAGGTGGTACATAGTTTGACTTCCATATTTTGAATTCCTTTGGAGGCTGTTAAGCAAGCACATTAAGAAGCACTGTGACAAACCAAGGTTCCTATGATTGGTGGGATAACATGCATCTCCCTGCCGTTCGCTTATGGTTCAGGCTGACTTTTTTTTAAGGTTTAAAGACACATTTTTCCATCAAAATCATAATACCGTTAAGTGAAAAGCCAAAGGGTTCCCTATATGAATAAAGCTAATAGCTTTTAGTTACCAAAGAAGAATCCAGTCTCAGAGATACTACGCCAAGGCTGACCCCTTCAGGAGGCTGCAGCAGACACTGTCTTGGAGGCAGCACCGCAGGCACTTCGGCGTCAAAGGGAAGGGGTCTCGGGGAGAAGCTGCAGCGGGGGGGCGGGGGAGTCACCACCGTTAGTCCTCGCCGCGCGGGGTCGGGGCACCGAGCGCGGAGGTTCGGGTCACCTCGCAAGGGGGCGGGGCTGCGGGTCTGGTCCGACACCCACCAGGCTGGGGGAGGGGGCCCGGGCTCCCCAGGGCTGGAGGTGGGAGGGGTGGTGCGGCATCCCGCGGGGGATGACTGCGTGTAGGGGAATGGACAGCCGGCCCCCAGGAGGGGGTCAGGAGGAAGGGGGCGGAGGCCGGGGCCAAGACGGCGAAACGGGGTCGGGGACCTCACCTCCTCAGGCGCCTTGACGACGTGCCTCTCCCAGTCTATCTGCTTGTTGAGCGGATTGTAGAGAAAGGCTGGGCGAGTCACGCTGCTGAACAGCTCGTCGGGTCCCGGCAGCCGCTTCTCTGCCTTGTTCCCACAGCTGCCCGCCGACTTCGCCGGATCTGGGGTTCTGCGACTTGTCTCTTCGGGCTCGATGTTATCCTCCTCACCCGAGGAGCCTGAGCTGCTGCTCCCGTAAGCCGCGAAATAGCTTAGAGGGTCCTTCTCCTCGGCTGCCATGACGGCTGCGCGCGACGACCTAGGACTCCGCCGGAAGTCGGAAGCCTTTCCAGGGTCCACCCAGTGGTTGGCCCCGCCCCAAGCCTTGCCCCGGTCTCCCGATTGGCGCCCCCTTGCGGCTGCGCCACGCTCCTGCGACCTGACTGAGGGACTGAGGACACATTCCTAAGCAGGGATTTCTTTTGCTCGTTCTTGAGCATCCCTGAGAAGAGAGGAGGTGCTGTGCCAGGGTTCCCAGCCAAACTTTCTGCATTCAATAGCATTTATTAAAGGCAGAAGAGCTAAGACTTTTGTCTTTTCACTGTCACTCGACTTTAGCCCCTGCTCAGAGATACTAGGATTTCTTCCTGATCCACTGCATCTCCTCTTTCAAATACAAATTACTCTCACTGTGCTTCCCTTGGTTGTCATAAAAGATCTGGGGGGGGGGTTCCCAAGTCAAAAACCAAATCTTTTCCTGCTTGACCTCATTCTAGTGCACTGTGAACAGCCTCTCTTTGGTAAAATTCCTGTTGGATGGCATCCTGCCACTCAGGGGGTCCTCCAAACTCAGGCTTCCCACTGTCAGCCTCTTTCCATTCCTGCTTTGCTCCATATGGTCTTTAAATGTTGGTGTTTCCCAACATATTATACTATCTTGCAGCAATACTTACTAACATTTTTGGAGAGCGTTACAAAGTTGCAAGTCAGCCCATCCCTTTCTACTGCATTAACTACTTTATGCTGTGACTCCCAAAAGTGTCTCTCCAACAGCAACCTTCCCTCCAAGCTCTAGACTGGACCTCCACCTGGCTCTTCATTTTTCATATGGACATCATGGTGGGGCCTCAAACACTTACTCAGTGGAACAGTGACACAACCATGTGCCTTGTCACCAGGGAAACTAGAAATCTTTGCTACCTTCTGGAGAAATAAGAATGATGCCCAAATGAAGTTGGTATTAGTGTAAACGTTCAGACCCTGCGTAAGCACGCTTACTTCCTAGGTGATACTCATATCTTGCCATCCCTCCCTGGAGGTAGGCTCCAGGGGCAGAGATGTCTATCTTGTTCACTCCGCTTTCCCAAATCATAGAGGACAAAGTCTGTGTGCTCCTTGAGGGGAGGAGCCGAACTGTGTTTTTTTCATTTTTATATTCCTACTACCCAGCACAGTGTCACAGAGTAGATGATCAATAAACATTGTTGGATTATAATAATTTATGATGGTTTGGGTCTCCATAAGTGTTTCTCAAGTTTTTCCATCCAGGTATTGACAGAGGAAAATGTCAATCCCAAGGTGTAGTTTGGGAGTCCCCCAAACCATTCTCACTCCTGACACCAATTGCAAGTTCAGGGATCCCTTGAACCACCCTCAGGTTTGATGACTAGCTAGAAGGACTCACAGAACTCACTGAGAGCTGTTATATTCACGGTTACAGTTTATTGTAGCAAAAGGATACAGAAAAAAACCAGCCAAGGGAATAAGCACATGGGGCAGAGTCCAGGAGTGTTCCACATTCAGAGCTTCCGGTTGTCCTCTCCCAGTGGAGGCATGGATGGTACTAACTTCTCTTGGCAAAGATATGTGACAATTCGCATGGAGTATTGCCAGCTAGAGAAGCTCAGTTGAGCTTTGGTGTCCAGAGTTTCTACTGGGGCTTGGCCGTATAGACATGGTTACCTGCCCACATGGCTGACCCGTCTCCAGCCCTTCCAGAGGTTGAGCTGATACATTGTGGGCCAAAGCCCTATAGGCATAGTTTCTTTTTTTGTAATACAATATACTATCTTGAAAGTGTATGCAAATATTATATAGTTGTCCCTAATATAGCTCTTTTATTGTATTAGACAAAAATATTTAAAATTACTTATTACTGAGTAAAACTGACACTCTAGGAAGATAACCACATTGATCCTGTGGCTTTTAAAACTGGCCCATTGTTGAGTGCCTCTGACGTTGAAGTACCCAGTTTGAGCGGCATGAATCCTTGTTATGAAAGCCAATAGCTTCTGTGTGATTCGGTCCAAGGATCACCTACCTCTTATTTAACCTTTCAACAAAATAGGTCTCCTTGAAACACTTTTTTCTCTTACCTTTCACTAGATCATACACTTTAGTTCTCTTCCTGTTTCACAGGGCCCTTTCCAGTTTTGTCTGTTGCCTTCTCTGTATCACCTTTAGCTGTAGAAGCACCCCAGGCTCAGTCCTGGGTCTTCCCCCTTTTTTTTAATCTACCCTCCATTTCAAGGTGAACTCACCAAGTCCCATGGTTTTAAATACTACTTTATGTTAGTAACTCCCACATTTATATAACCAGTCCAGAAGTCTTCCTGAACACCAAACTCCTGTATCCAATTTCCTACTTCAATATCTTACAATCCCCTCAAACTTAGCATATTTGTGGGAGATTGTCTACAAAAATAGCTGCCAACAATTCCTCCTGTCTGAATTTTCCCAGCGATTAGATTCAGGTTATAAATTTTTGGCAGGAATATCATGGAAGCGGAGTTGTGGTCTTCTCATTGCGTTCAATCAGGAGGCACATGATTTCAATTTGTTCTGGCACTGATGGTTTTACTTTTGATTTCTTGATTAAGGTGGTGTCTGCCAGGCTTCTTCACTGTAGTTACTTTTTTTCCTCTTTGTAAATAATAAGTGTTTTGTAGGGAGTTACTTTGAGACTGTCAATATCCCATTCTCTATCAAATTGTTTGTTCATTTATTTATATTAGCATTGGTTCATGGTTTCCTAGTTTATCAAATGAATTATAATCCATTACTATTATTTATTTTGATGTTGAAATTGTTCCAGATTTGACCAATGGGAGCCCCTTCAAACAGGCTGTGTCCTTTGGACATGTCCCCATGATTCTTTGAGCACCTGCCTGCTTTCTGGAATGTTACAGACTCATCTTCCCCCCCCCCCCAAATATTAAGGTGGTACAAATGTTTTAGGTTATATGGATCACTTTTATACTGCTTGAGTCCCAGCTAAAGGTGTGCCCGTCACCCAAATAGTGTTCATAGTACTCATTAGGTAGGTTTTTGCCCCTCTCCTCCTCCCCCCTGGTTGATTTCCACTAAGTTTTACTTCCCTCTGTGCACACGTGTGCTCATCACTTAGTTCCAACTTAATAGGCAGTACATGCGGTGCTTGTTTTTCCATTCTTGAGATACTTTGCTTAGGAGAATGGTCTCCAGTTCCATCCAGATTATTGCAAAAGGTATTAATTCATCTCCTTTTATGGCTGAGTAGTACTCCATGGTGTATGTATATCACATTTTATTAATTCACTCATGAACTGATGGGCACTTGGGTTGATTCCACATCCCAGACTTATCTTATACTTTGCCCTGGAATTAGCATTAGCCATTTTCTTTTAATGGAGAACGGTATTTAGAAGCCAAGATCTGGGTGCTAAGTGTGCTCATTGCTAATGAGGTGGTAATGTTTCCAGCGTCTCACAATGGACAAAGCTAGGGAATGTATTTATTTCTATATCTATCTATATATATTGAAAATGTTGAGTTCACCCTGATACTTCTGATTTTAATCCAACATTACAGAGTTTCTTTTAGTTTTCTCTCTTTCCATATTTATAACTCCATTCTCCAACAATGAGAAATCTGGCTTCCTTTATGCTAAACGCATTTACTTATTTGATCAGTACCCATATATACAGCCAATCTTCTATCACTGCTGCTGGCTCTTTTCCCAGGTGGATGAACTGCTTACTCCACTTAGGATCTGACACACTGCGTTAGACTGCCCTCCGTACTCTGTTCCTACTTGAGGCTCTGATGCTGGGCCACCCCTACAAACATTCCTCTCTGTGAAATCTCACCTCAACCGAGGCTCCTGGGCTCCCCTCAGTCACCATTCCCCTACTCTTAAGTTCCAGCCACACAGGCACAGGCAGTTCTCACTAACTCCTTCTTACCTTAGGGTTTTAACCTCAATGTTACTTCTATCTGGAACCCTTTCCCCTGGAACTTCCCATAGCTAGCTCTTTTCTTATGATTTAAGTCTCAGCTCAAAGCCTCACCTGCTCTAAGAGTCTTTCCATGATAATACTATCAATTACCTTCCCAATTTACTTTTGAACTCATACTTTTTGTCTCCATGGTAACTAGAATTATCTTGGTTTTCCTTGTTTATTTTCTAATTCTCTCTCCCTATGAGAATATGAGTTCTATGAGAACACAGGCTTTGTCTACTTTATCACTGTATCAACAGCACCTAGAATAATAGGTACTCAGTAATTCTTGAATTAATGAATGAAAAAATGCATAATTCCACTCTTACCTTTCTGCTTTTAAGAAATGCTAATAAGGAGGCCGGGCACGGTGGCTCACGCCTGTAATCCTAGCACTCTGGGAGGCCGAGGCAGGCGGATCGTTCTGAGCTCAGGAGTTCGAGACCAGCCTGAGCAAGAGCGAGACCCCGTCTCTACCAAAAAATGGAAAGAAATTAATTGGACAGCTAAAAATATATG